GAATGGAGCAGATGTGAATGCCAAGGACATGCTGAAGATGACAGCTTTGCATTGGGCCACAGAGCACCACCATCGAGATGTGGTAGAGTTACTTATCAAATATGGAGCTGATGTCCATGCTTTCAGCAAATTCGATAAATCTGCCTTTGACATAGCCCTGGAGAAGAACAATGCTGAGATTTTGGTCATCCTTCAGGTATGTCTTTTTTTATACTCTCAGAATATACATTAATTAAAGTTAAGGGGTTTTTTTGTGTGTGTGTGGAAGTTGCTCTAAAATTAAAAATTTTTTTTAAGAGAGATGGACACAACACAATGCCTTTATTTTTATGTGGTGCTGAAAATCGAACCCAGGTCCTGCCCGTGCTAAGTGAGCGCTCTTACCGATGAGCCACAATCCCAGCCCTAAAATTGAATTTTTGCTGGGAACAGTGGTGCATGCCAGTAATCTCAGCTATTTAAGAGCCTGAGGCAGTAGGATTGTGAGTTCAAAGTCAGCCTCAGCAATTTAGGGCCTCCATAAATTTAATTTAGCCACATCCTGTCTCTAAATGAAATATAAAAAGGGTTGAGGATGTGGTTCAAAGGTTAAGCACCTAGGTTCAGTTCCTGGTATCAAAAAATAAACCACAAAACTGAATTTTCCCCATCTTATCAAGGTAATACTTCCAATGTGTTTCAATCTATGACTCAGTGTCATTAGTATGTTTAAAATAATAATAATAATAATAATGGGGCTGGGGCTGTAGTACTGGTAGAGCACTTGCCTGGTATGTGTGAGGCACTGGGTTCAATTCTCAGCACCACACATAAATAAAATAAAGGTCCATCAACAACTAAAAAAAAAAACTTTAACAAAACAGTCCATAAATTATTGAATTATTCATGGTGATTAAAGAAAAATGTTGTGGGAATACTTACTGCCCATGTTGCAGAGCAGAATTCCCTGAACCTTTGGTTCTGAGGCTTTCCTGATTTTTGAATCATTCTTTGTTCAAAAATATTCTGTTAAATTTAATTTTTCTTTCCATGAAAATTTCCCTTTCTTTTTTCCCCCTTTGGTACTAGGGATTGATCCTAAGGATGCTCTACCACTGAACCATATCCCCAAACCTTTTTATTTTTGTATTTTGAGACAGGGTCTTCCTAAGTCCCAAACTGCTGCCCTACAGTCCTTATGGTCCTCCTGCCTTCGCCTTCCAGAAAAATTTCCTTTCTAAACTTAACTTGAGACAATATTAAAAGTCACTTTTTATTTTCTGAATGTTTATCAATTGATGTGTGATAGTATATAGCTCTAACACATGTTGGGTGATAAGGAAATCATCTCAACTCAAATTCAAAAATTTATTCATTCATTCATTCCTTCCTTCCTTCCTTCCTCCCTCCCTCCCTCCCTCCCTCCCACTGGGGATTGGACTCAGGAGCATTCAACCACTGAGCCACATTCCCAGCCCTATTTTGTATTTTAGAGACAGGGTCTGGCTTTGAATTTGCCATCCTCCTGCTTCAGCCTCCCAAGCCGCTGGGATTACAGATGTGAGCCACCATGCCCAGCTATATCCATTAATTTTTAAGTCAGTATTTGTATATAAAAGGAACACTAAAGATGGGGATGTAAAAATTAATAGGACACTCCATTTGTGTACAATGAATCGAAAAGCTTTCTGCTGTCATGTATAACTGATTAGAACTAATAAAAAAAAGTGTCAGCACACACATACACCAACATGTTAAAGATGAAGACAGGGGCTGGGGTTGTGGTTCAGTGGTAGAGCGCTCCCTAGCATGCACGAGGCACTGGGTTAGATCCTCAGCACCACATAAATGTAAAATAAAGATATTGTGTCCACCTAAAACTAAAAAAAATAAATATTAAAAAAAAGATGGGGCTGGGGATGTGGCTCAAGCGGTAGCGCGCTCGCCTGGCATGCGTGCGGCCCGGGTTCTATCCTCAGCACCACATACCAACAAAGATGTTGTG